CAAATCAGTAGTTTTTGACTTTAAATTTATTCTCAAAAAAATCAGATATACAGTAAGTACCATACCAGTTGTTATCATACCTATTATTCCTCTGATTGATAAACTTGTTAGCTCCACATCTTGAACAAAAAATATTCTTCTTGCTAAGACTGATCAAATGATTAATCTATTTGACAATACAACCTACAGACTTATTTTCAACAAAGTTGTCTGTAACTGATTTCTTTTTCCAAAATATTTTCTTCATCTTATAATGATTACCTGATTCAATCACATAATCATTGTAATACTGTCGAGAAATATTTATGATTTGAAGCACCAGATTTAGAAAATATGCTAGAGTCTCTGTTAGATTTAACAGAAGAACTATTACTCTTGCAGTTTTTAACTGAAGATAAAGACTCAGTTGAACTATCTTTTTCAGAAAACTCTTTGAGTTTATTCAACAACTGATCCCTATCTTTAGTTATTAAAGCATATTTGTTTTCAGAATCAGATCTCATACTCTTTTCAGTAACAAGATCAGCTTTCAAATCAGATAATTTCTTTGTAATTTCAGAAATTTTACCTTCAAGATCTAATCTTTCTTTTTCAAAAAAATTCCCTCATTTTCAACTCTTTCCCTTCTGTCTCAAAAACATTCCTTTCATTTTCAAGACCTTCTTTCTCATTATCTGAGGCAACATGTAACCATTTCATCTTTTCAATCAACTCCTTAGCTATTGCAACATTCTTCTTTGCAGTACTTTTTTTCTCTATAGCAAATGCCTTTCTTTCTTCATCTAGAACCTTCTTCTTAGGAGCAATACTCTTTGAAATATCCATATATTTCTTCTCAAATTCTTCACAAATTCTTTATTCTTAGTCTCAAATTTAGCTCTTTCTAGAATAATTATCTTCTCAAATTCAGATATTTGCTCAGAAAGCTTTGTATTAATCAGCTCAAGAACTTTAACATTTCTTTCAACATCAAATTTCTTTTTCAGACTCTAACAACTTTCCAGTTCAATTAACCTTTTCATTTCTTTCTCAAACGCTCTTCTTTCAAAAGTCAATGTTTTCTCACCTTCATAAACCTTTGAAGTTAATTCAGAATGTTTCTTTAATTGCTCAACATTTTTTCTTGGTAATCATATGAAAAACCTCTAGACATAAACTCATCAATTTGTTATAGCAAAAACTTCTTTTCCTCGTGATCCTTTTCATTATTCTTAACCATGAAATATTTCAATGGTTTTCATAAAACATTTCAACATATTTGTCTTGTTCCTTTCTCAAATTCCTTTCCAATTCAGAAACTCTCTTTCAGTTCCTTGTTCTCTCTTTCTAACATAAAAGCTATTTCAAAATATTTCAAATTGATTGATCACACTTAATCTTTATACTGATCACACTTAATCTTTATACAGTTCAAAACTTAGAGAAATCAACAGATCACTTATATCGGACAACAAATCAAACTTATCGGACAACACAAAAATCTTTCAAAAACTTGCTTATCGAATAACAGGTTATCTCCCAACAAGTTATCAGATAATACTTATGACTCTTATCGCCCAAAACTACTTGTTGTTCAAGTCTTTATCGATCAACTCACCTTATCAATCATAACCTTATCGCACAAAATACTATATCGCACACTTCCCTTATCGGTCAAGTCTTTAACCGGAAACAGTTCTTTATCGGATAGCACTTGACCGGTTAAAAACTCCTTATCGCCTAACACTTTATCGATTAACTCTTCTAATCGGACAACAAAAGATATTCAACAGGCGATGAATCTATCTTATCGCTTAATGAAGATGTTCATCGAGCGATGAAGATGACCAATAGTCAAAATTCAGAATTCGATAGAAATCACAAAAATTCACACCAAAAATGAACAAATTTAACATAGATCAATTTGCAAGATACCCAAGAACAAGTTTTCAATACAAATTCATACCAAAAACATATCAAAGTGGTCCAATTTTGATGAAAATCTCAAGAATAGTTCAAGAACACGAAACATCAAAAATTCAAAATTGATTCTTGAAATCAATTCAATTATAAAATTCAATGATTCAAATTAGTTCCAAATTGAAATTTGCATACAATTCAATCAAACAAACACACAAATTCAAACAGAATATGAGAAATTTGAATCAAACAGTGAGTAAAATGAGTTCGATCAAGAAACTATCCAATTCTTGTCCGATTCAATACAAATCAATCCTCTAAGTTGTTGTAATCTACTCTGATACCAATTGATAATCCCAAATATATTAATCAATTCATAATTAAGATTCAAGATCACAATAGCAATTGACAAAGTATAGAGAGAGTAGAAATTGTAGAGAAAGATTTTCCAAATGCTTCAAATGTATTCAATCTTCAAATGAATTGCATAATTGACAAATCTATTAAGCGCATGTAATATTCCAACTCGAAATCTAAAACAAGACACCTATATACATACAAGATAAACACACAAAGCTTAAAGCTTGGATACAACAATTAAAGCTCAAAACTTGATCCTAACAGGTATAATAAGTTATGTGCAAGTCTGATCTACCTTACAACCATACCATTGAAGTTCCACCTATTATGAAAATGACACCATCTTTTTTTTCAAACTTGGGATAAGAAAATCATCCATATACATATCTATACACACAAACACACATATACATATGGTTAGAATCATGTGAGAACTATATTTTTGGTGAGAACAGTGATATACGAACCTTGCCTCTACCAACATTTGCACATCTTCATCTACCTTTCTTACCTACTTGTATCACCATGACCCCTAATTTTAACAAGTTTATGCATTTGAAGGTGATTGAATGTGTGGGGAAGTTCGTGAAAGTGAAGAGGAAGGTATATGAAAGTCATAAAGGTAGATGAAGGTCCATATGTTTTATGAGTCATCAAATTATGAAGATCAACATTTTTAAGCTGTAAAATGAAAATTTTAACTCTTCCAAAAGCTCATAAGTGTTCTTAACATTATCAAGAAAATTTATATGCACTACAACAAAATTGAGTTTATATGACACCCCCAATCTCTAAGCTTCCCAATAGACCGCTTTATAGAACTTAATTTATAGGACCAAAATATAAAGGTGTTGTGATAAGTTTATATGACGCTTTTGGGTGTCTTAACAAGTTTTTTAGGACATCTTCAATACAAAGTGTCACATTAGCAACTTTATAGGACATTTTTTAAAAAGTGCCCTATAACTCATTTTTTATAGGACACTTGTTTTTATAGGACAGATTTTTCAAATAGTGTCGTATAAAGTTGCTAATGGGATGCTTTATATTAAAAGTGTCCTACAAAACTTATTACGGCGTCAAAAGTCGTCATATAAACTTATTACAACGCCTTTAGATAGGACAATTTATTTTTTTGGTCCTATAAATTAAGTCCTTTAAAGAGGTATATTAGGACGCTTAAAAATTAGGAGTGTTCTATACACTACAAAAATGCTGGGTATCAGCGAGGGAAAATTCCCTCGCTGATCCGTCGCTGAAAG